TGGCTCTAAGAGGTTGTTCTGTGTCAGGTTCACCATCTCCTGATGTGTGCTGGTGCTGCAGGGGAGGTATTTTCATCCTTCACAGGGCTGAGCCGAAGTAAATCTGCCTGCTGTGGGTAACCCTTAATCAGCCCAGCTAAGCACATCTGGAGAACAGGCGTTCAAAGCCATGAAACAGCGCGGCCTCAGCTGCTCAAAAGCTCTCCTCCTGCTGCAGGGAGGCACGAGGGGCCCTTGGCCTGACCAAAGCTGGCACTTCTGATGTTGAAATCAGAGTCTGCCCACCTGAAGGTTACCTGGGTGGGTGTAGCAGAAAAAATGGCTTGGAAAATACTGATTTATAAGTAAAACCAGGCTGCTACTGCAGCTGACACCAGTGATGAAACGGGAAGCAAAACAGATTAAACTCTCTTTGGAAAGATCAGTTGGTGAAGGCAACGATTTGGATCCCAACCTGCCAATTAACCCATCTAGAGGAGTCACTGTGAAGGATTCCCCCAGCCAATGTTTTGATGAAGTAGTTGAGTGGTATAAAATCACAAATCCAACACAACTGGTATTTTACTCTCTTTCATTATTACAACAATTTTTCAATTATGTTTCTTTTCATTAAGCTCATAATGCAGATTAACAGATTCCCCTGCCATTTTAAAGGAAAACTGTGTAGTGATACTAAGTAAAACATTTAGGGAAGAGGGACAACTGATTTTCAGTATCTTTATCTTCTGTCAATGACAAGATGGATAATCAAATCTTCTCTATCTTTGCAGAGTGGAGTTTATGTTTAAATGGGTGGATCTAGTCAAAGCTAAAGGGAAATATCACAATATATTTTTTGTAGAGAAGACTCCCAATGCTAATGAGCAGCCAAATCTGTCTCGGGGAAACAGTTTGTTACTAAAAATAAATTGCAGCCTAACTGTAACTAAAATCAGATTGCAGAAACCAAGCTACTCCGATTCCTGATTTCTGCTACAGAAGGAGATGAATCTATTACAAACAGCTCTTATTATTATATATTTTTAATTGTGCCAACTGAGCCCTGTTTTGAAATTAATCCACTTGTGAGCTTCTATCAAATGCTTACAGCATTCTCCAGAGATTTTTCTTCAGTCTCTGCAAAGCCAGTGAGGAACCAGTTCATAGTTATGAGGCCAAAAGGAAAAACAGTGCACATGAGCTATTTATAGAATATGAAGCAAAACAGTGTGATAAAGGGCAAATGAAAGCTTTCAACGAGAGGCTTTTCGTTCCCAGTCACATGGTCTTTACATGCAATTTCTTTTTTACTATACAATTTAGCAGGGAAATTAAATCACTTGACAGCAGCCTTTTTCTGGTTAGAAAAGAACTGTTCAGTGCTCCTTTACCATTTATAATATGCTCACTTGTGGCTGTTGCTGTTTGAGAGGGTTTGTTTGCAAAAGTTTCTGCAGGGCCAATACTTTCCTGGCAGGTGGAAGCAGAAATGGTGGCCAGAGGTTGCCCTGGGAAGATTTCAGTGTGGAGCATGGAACTGCTGCCGAGCACAACATGCAGAGTTCTTAATCGTGAGCCCCAGACATTTGGGAAAACAGGACAAGGATTCCCCTCCTCTGAAACTCTGACAGTTATAGGAGTAGAAGCAAGCAAAGGTAAATCCAACCTTTCTAATTGCTTTTGTGTCACATCACCCTCTGTATATAAATGTCCTTGTTGTATTCATGTCTTTTTGTTCTTATTGCAAAGAGCAAAGGACATTTCTGTCCTGGGAGTTTATCAACAACCTCATTCATTTTGAATATATTTCTTTCAGATTAGTTTGTTCAAGTCAAGTATCTGTGCTCCATCTCTAGGGGCTGTCTTTAAGCAATTCTGACCTTGAAAAAAAACCCAATTTGACCTGGGCGCCAGATTGTGACTTAGCCTAACACCGTATTCGACTCTTTCAGAAACACAGGAATTGCCAATTTTTTGACAATGACTAAAATTAGATATTTTACTGCCTAAGTGTGATGACTCCAAGAAGGGGAATGGTGCAGAAAAGAAATTGCATGAACTCTGTCCTAGAGGTCCAGGCTGAAAAAAATTAAATGGCTTCTCAGATAGATTTCTTTTTGTTATCTCTCATTTTCTTTGTGTCTGTGATAAAGTTTGAGGGAGGCTAAAGAAACTGGATAGTTTATCTCTCAAATATAGAGGCTGATGCTGTCATTTCAGAATATTTTCACAGAGAAGGTGATTTATGGCAGCAGCCTCTTCTCCTTGGACATGAGCAGCACGTTTGCAGGTTTGCAGTGTGTTCGCATCCTGAGCTTCTCCCCACGCAGGCCATCACCCAGCCTGTCTTGTCTCATCTGTGCCAGATTCCTCTTTAGCCCTGGGAGCTCCTGTGTTACACTAATACTTCACACACTCATTCTGCCTTGTGAGAGGTGAATGGGTGGATGAAATGCTGAGGCTTTAACAGCAGTGGTGCTGTATGGGAGCTGAGTGCTGGAGCTGGGGAGCTGGGGAGCAAGGAGGAATGAATGTGGTACATCTGTCTGTAGTCAGTCAGTCCCTCAGACAAATTTACAGATTTGCTGTTGGGAACAAGGCTTTTTAGTGAAGATTCTCCAGGCCCTTACAAAGATATGAATGTATTCCAGAACCCTGATGAATGATAAGCAGAAACACTGAAAGACAAATTTCCATTGCTGCTTCTCAGACACATGAACTCCTTCAGAAGTCAGGAGTTACACCGAATTTAAAGAAATCAATGTTGGCTTCCTCCCAGAATGTAAACTCTTTTTAAGAGCTCTGTTTCATGTGTCTGTATGTATGTGTGTATATACATATATAATGTTGTTTTCAAATACCCAGTGGAAATTTAATGGAGTTGCAGGAACACCAGAATAGAGGAGAACTAAGTCTATATCCAGCACATAACCCAAACAGTGCTGCTGCATTGATCCCCAAGAGGAAGGCAGGGCAGTAGTGCAAAACTAGAGCTGAGAGGTTTGGGGCTGCTCAGTCCCATTGAACAACAAGAAAAATCCCCACCTTTTCTGCTCCTCTAGTGTTCCTGCTGGACACTAAAACCAGGCTAAAAATAAAACCAAGGAAAACTGGAAGAAAAAAAAAAAAGATATTGGAAAGAGTGGAAGGAAAAAAAAAGTTATTTTCAGCAATGTATTCTGTGCAAGCTTTACTTTGCTGGGAGACAATTAAAATGGCAATTTTGAGCCCTGATGGCTCATTGTAGTTGTTCAGAAATGTGGTGCTCCCATTTCCCTCTACCCCTGGAACCTGCTGGTCAGACTGGCAGTGTCTCTGGGGACACTGCATTCCCAGCAACTGCACAGGGGTGAGGCAGAGGAATGAGGAGGTGCTGTCACCCTGCCGTGTGAGCTGGAGGGTGTCCCCTCTGTGTCACACCCTGTGCAGAAGCAGTAGGGCCCAGGCAGTAGCAAGGGGAGGTGACGGGAGTATGGAGAGCCTGGCTTTGCTTCCCTCAGTTGTTTCTGGGTGCATGATAAGGCCTCAGCTCATCAGTTCCTGTCTACTGTGGCATCACTGATATTTATTCACTTGTAGTCACTTGTGTGTGAAGCCAGCACAGGCCTCTCTTAGACTGTGAGCAGAAGTACAGCCAGTAGATTTAGGCTGGAAACCAAGACAAACCTCACATGCAAGTTCTGCTACCAGTGACCTGGAGCAAGGGTGAGTCCGAGAGAAGGGCCTTAAAGCCATGGTGGTGTTGGAGCACAACTGGACACAAATCCTCCTCTCTGCACTGTCTGTTCCAGCCTGAGGCTCAGCCCTGGCAAGTGAGAAACAGGCTGATCCCATTCATTACTGTCACCTTCAAATATAAACCTGCTGGAAAAGAGAACTCTCAAGGCCATCCCATACTCTCTGTGCTAACAACATAGTGCTTGTAAGAAGAGCACACCATGAAGTGGCATAGTGTTCTTTTTTTATTTTTTTTTAAGCTGATCAACAGGAACAAGAGACATAGGAGAGTGGCTTAAGGGTATTCAGATCACAAGACTTTCTGATGAAGAGAACATGCAGCTGGCTGCATATGCTATTCCAGAAAAATAAACACTACTTGTAAATATCCAACCCTCTTGCCATCTCTGAAGAATTTCTGCCAGCTGATGTAAGTAGCTGAGGAAGAGGTTGGAAAGCTGTCACCCTTGTGTGTTGGCAGGGTGAAACAAGCAGCCAGCAAAATCTGGGGCAGGCAAAGATAAGAAGGGACTGTCCAACCCCTGTTCTGCTGGATTGGGTGTTGTGAGCCTGGCATTCTGCTGAAGCACACACAAGTAGAATGCACTGCAATTTACACTGAAGGCTCAAAGGGCAAACCTTACTGGGCACAGGCCTTTTTTAAGGAGTTGCTGAAATGGTCCCTTAAATTTTGGGACTACATCAGGTGCTCTTATGTGCTCTCAGCTGTCTAAAGCTGGCTTTTGTCCTGCCACTCCAGATGCAGGGAAGTCCTTTGGCACAGATGGGATCCTCTGGCATTGCTGAGGGGGCTGAGTGCAGGCAGAGCAGGGGCTTGGCTGGAAGGGCACCCAGAAACTGAGCTGAGCTTTCAGCCCTAGGAGCTCTGCACGGGCTATGAAGTGAAGCAGCCCTTACTCAGAGAGACTTTTCTGGCACAAAGGCAGTACTGAAGCAAGATCTCCCATGTTTTGAAGGAAGCATTGATTTGTAAAGTATCATGTAAAGTGATAGGTCTCCTTCCTGAAGAGTGGCTGAGGCTTCAGAAAAAAACATTGTGCCTTTTATATATTTCTTTTCTTTGCTCTTACAGTTTGCCTACACAGTTACAGAGACTACTGCAAGAAGTTTTGTTATAAGAATTCATCTCCTTCTGCCCCTCTTTTCTCATATGAAGTCAGTGAAGTGAAAGTTCAGGTACTATCTGGGTGTGCTCACTCAATTTCAACATTTATAAGTTTCCAAAATTTGGACTCCAGCCCACAGACACATGTGATTTTGATACAACATGTCTGATTCCCTGCATTGTTACCTCCTCTTACAGCGTTTTACTTACACTGCAATAGCATTAAATTAACTTTAGTATGAGTCATACACGAGCATACATGCAGGTTTGTATGTACATAGAAACAGGGAGAAGGCAAATACACTAGGATACTTAGAGTGCTTAATATCTATATTTTTGCATAACAAAATCCAGCCTATTCTGTTTCCATTTTTACACAGACGTGTCTGATTACTTAATCCAAAGCCACATCCTCCACTCCATGGCTGCCAAAGTGAGCCACAGGCAAGAGGTGAGCTGTGTTTGGTCAGTCCCCATGCAAGTTGTTCTTTCCTTTTTTACTTCTCCTGCTTTGTGGTTTGCTTGCTCTTCCTTTTTTTTCTTTTTTTTTTTTTTCCCTGATTTTTGGTTTGTTTTGGGGTTTTTTGGTCATCATTTTATATATGATCCTCTTGGTTTGGGATGTTCTTTACTTATGTGCTTACATTGTACCTAATCACATTGGGCTGTGATCCAAATTTGGGTCTGTGTGCTACTGGAATAGAAATAATAATGTCTTGTTGCTTTGCTAGGCAGTCAGGTTAGAATCTGCAACTCTACTCTGTTTGTGGGCACTACCCACTGCAGGACTGCTTTCTAAATTTTTGCCTGATTGTGTGTAGTACAAATACCCCTGGCACAGCAAAATAATGAACAGCAGCAGCATAGCAAAAAATTCAGCTGTGCCAATAAATGGTGAAAGCATTTTCTTGCCGGAGTGAAATTGTGCTGTAAGTACTTGTTGGTTTGTTAGAAATCTTGGGATGTGTAAATATAACTGATCCCATCTAGGTTAAGGGAGTTTATTGGTGAGTCTGAGGTTAAAAAGCCCCTAAAGCTTAAAGGATAAGTGAAACAGGTGCTTTCCCAGAGCCTTGGAAGTTATGCTACAATCAGTTTTTTCCTTCCCTTTGGGCTTAATAATATACTAAAGTTGATATGTTATAGCTATGGTAACATTTATAATAAGAAAATATGCAAATACAGCAGCAACGTAATTTTTCCAGACTGCTTAGCAAGTAAATGGTTGTGTACAGAATAGCCTTCAATCCTGTGAGCATCTTTCTGTCAGAGGCAGCTCCTGTTATTTATAAGAGCAATAAAACTACTGATTATTATTGGACAAATTTCTCAGACATGGAAAAAAAATCTTCAGATATTTTACTTCCAAATCTTTCAGTATGTAACAAAAGATTTGAGGTTTCAGAAGTTTAGTCCCTGAGGATAAACAAATAAAGTTGTAAAGAGCACACCTTGCTAATATGATTGTTCCTTATTAGCATAATAGTTTTCAAATAAACAACCTGCTAATGTCTCTAATAAGCAATTACTCTATGATGAAAACTGCAAATGGGGCCCACTGGTGGGTAACAGATAACAGTAAAATCTGTCAATAAAACAAATATTGTTCTGCCTGAACAGCTCTCTTCTTCACTCCAAGAGAAGAACAGACCTGCCTGGGTATTTTTATAGGCTGATGCTTGACAGCCAGATATGTTACAACACTGCTCCTCTGATGCTTTGTTGTGATATTATGTGGAGTCTTTACTCTTTATGGTGTTAGTGTTACAACAAAATAAGGCAGAGATCTTTACTTATTTGGAGCTACCTACTCTTGAGTCCAATAAAACCACAGTAGGGTGAATGCTTGCCCAGGATTAGGGATTTGACAGATTAATAGAGTTTGCTTTCTTTCATAAAAGAAAAATGATAATTAAAAATTTGGAGTCCAACCTATCCCTGAAACATGCAAATTAACGGAAGTAGCATCTCAGCACTCTTTTCTTCTTGCTATTCTAAATCATTTGCAGTGGCAAAAAGGTGTTGAATGCATGTAACAATCTCACTTTTCCAAACATTGAAAAGTGTGAAAAAAAGTAATAATTTTTCAAGCATGGTTGACAAACTATTTTCAAAACATTTGCAGTGTAATTTACAGACTTGCCTAGTTGCTCCACCATTGATTACAAACCTGTGTTGTGATTGCTTTGTCCCTATACTTCTGCACTCATTTTTCCAAAATAATTTTGCATCAAGTTCTCAAGAAATAAGGGTATAGAATATGAGAAAATCCCAAATCCCCAAGCCTGGTCCCTTCCAAATTCCATGGTGAATATGAGGGTTTTATTTTATATATAGCTTTGTAGAAATAGGATTATTTGAAGGAAAATCTTGAGCAATTCTTATCTTTGTTCCATTCTGGACTGACATCATGGTACAAAAACGCAAGGAATGTACAGTAAAGCCTGGTGTGGGAAGAAGATCTTGACAGAAGGATGATTAATGGTGTCTGAAAGAGAGAAAACAGTTATGTAAGAAATACAGCCCATGAGGTTGAAACTGAAGAAACCGTCACAGGTGCAGGCTGTAAACAGGCCCCAGAGGGAAGAATATTGGTCTTTTAAAGGTGGACTCTGTAAACAAACAGACGAGGCATAGGAAATATCCTTCCATATAAATTTTTATGGTACAAATAAGTACATGGAGCACATAAGCACTGTAAGTGTTTATAAACTCAAAGAACATCCATATTGCAGTAAAGCTGCACAAATAGTACCACAGTGTAAATTTATATAGCGTGAGGCAGATGTGTGGTCTGATGGCTTAGTTTGTTTTTCTGACTTTAGCAAATGACATGATTTCTGTGTCTCTGGTTTTGTTTTGTTCCATTTAGCTGCTCTCAGCTACATAATTGTTCTTTCAGCTTGTAAATATTATGGTCAACCTCCAGCAAAGTTTAGATGAGGCCAATCAAATGTAAACAAGTGTGTCTGCACCAATGATGTGAGTAAGCAAAGTCATCTCTTGTGATGTTTCTTCCCCCTTTTCTTACTCCTCTGGGACTGCAAGAGCTTTGTGGAGCCTGCTGTGGTACTGCACATCCTGGGGTTCAGTTTAACTGCCTGCCTGGGATAGTTTTTTCTTTTTTTTCCCCCCGCTTTTTGGTGTTGAATTTATCCTGTGAAATGAGAATAATGGACCAGGATCACCTCCGGGGAGCATCTCACATCTGTCCTTGCTTCTGCCCCTGCTCTAGGGGTGGCTGCCTGCAATCTCAGCACAAAGTTAATACAGGTGTGAGGTGCAGTGCAGGGGCCCAGCAGGGCTGAGGGTCAGCAGACTGCTGAGGAGCTGCAGTCAGATGCAGGGCTGTGACACAGAGGGTGGCAGTGCTGCTGGCAGAACCTCTGTGCAGTTCCCAGCAGGGCTCGGCCCCCAGGCTGCTGTGCCTGCAGCAGGGGCTGCCAGCAGCACAGGGCTCTGGCCTGGTGGCTCTGGCAGAGCTCTTTCTGTGCCAGGGCACCAAGTGCTGCAGTCACCAAACCCTCTGGGTGAAAGCCTTTGCATTAAAAGAGTGCACATGGACCAACTTTTATCCTTGAATGTGGTCTTTAGGGTTTCACTCCACATTGCTCTACTGTCACTGTGCAGCCCCAAACCTGCAGGATATACTGGCAACACAGTGAATGCATCCCATGGGCTTTCTGCTGCAAACACAAGAAAGCAGGTGGGCTTTCCCTGCATGCAACCTCCTCCCCTGGCTTTGGAGCCTCTCACTGTTGTGCACTGAACACAGCCCTGCCTGCTCCCCTGCATCCAATCTTTACCTGCCTCCCAGCCCAGTTTTGTGTCTCCAAGTGCCCAAATCCTGTTGGAGCTTTTTGCAGCTGTAGCAGTTCAACACTACTGGCAGCCTGACATTCCACACCTCATGCTCCCATAAGCAGTGGACGGTTGGGTCACAATTTTTTGTTAGATGTGAATTAACCTTTAAGGAAAAAACCCACCAAAGTAATGACTGCAATGCTATTGATCTCCTGGGAACAGAGCCTGGGAGGTGTCTGACATTTTACATTGTTATCTATGGGAGAGGAAGGAGCTGGGCTGTTTTTTCCCACAAGAAATGTATCTATTTTTGAGAGCAAAGTACTTTCTTTGCCATGGGACCCAAAACAGTTTTCATTCACTGACTCACAGTCTCTGGAGGCCTTTTCCCTGAGCTTAGGAGGCAAATGCTTACTGGTTTGCAGATGGAAAAGTGACAGCCCAATTAGCTAAAACTTTTAATTTAAAGGTAAAGATGTTACCTGTTTACAGCTATCTTAGCTTTGAGAACCAAACAGTCTCCACCAGCCTCATTCCTCTGTTTTTACATACAGAGGTGCTGTAGGTTTGGTCATAATAACTGTTGGGTGAGAATCTGAAAGCAATGTATCAACAGCATATGATTTATTCTGTGGTTCTTGTGCAGAAAGCCAGACTATGATTTCATGCTTTCCTGTTTCTCTTTTTTGTCTTCTTATGGTATGAAAATCATTATTTGCTATTTGCTATTAAATTTTTCCAATAGCCTATTTGCTTAATTATGGATGAATGTTAATTGGTTAATTTTTCCTTCCCAAGAGATAATCTCACCAAGACCCAGGCAGAAACAACAGGAAATGTATTTTGGACAACGTTCACCTTGTATCTGTTCCTGTGGCGTATGGCAGAGCCAGTGTGGGTCAGCTTGGCTGCTCCTGGCCTCAGACTGATCCACAGGAGGCTTCCATGTGTGCTGCTATTTATTCTTTGAATGATGAGGAATGTCTGTAACAGCATTCATGGTCCAAGCAGCTGAAAACTCCCTGCTGCATCTCTGCAGGGTCTGAGGGTGGATCCACTTCTGCCTTGCCCACATGGAAGGACAGGACTTGGTGGCAAATGTCCTCTGGGAGCTGCCAGTGTCCAGCCAGGCTGGAACTTTTGGCAGGCATGGGACACTGGCAGTTGGGACCAGACATCTAAACATGCTTTTCTCTTTCATTCAGAGATTGCATAGGGACTGTTTAACCTTTAGACAAAGCCTTTCCAAATAAAATGCTTTACCAAAAGAACAAAATATCAAGGAAAAAGGTATAACAATATTTAGAATTCTTCCACATTGCAAAATCTGTGTGAGGAACTTCAGAAGAGCTACTACCAAATGTGCCCAGTAGCATTTCTTAATATTTGTAGTTGTTCTTAAATGTATATACCTAATCAGCTCTTTAACCTGTGCTCCAGGCATAGTGAAGTAAAAAAAAAATATTTAAAAGACTGCCTGAAGGGATTAAGTCTCTTGGTATTTATGGTAAAAGCACTGCTTTGCTCTTGTTAGGAGCTTTCATTAGTTTGAACTGTCTGTCTTAATGCAGCTTGTAAATTACTGACAGTAAAGGAGATTCCAAAATGGCATGTGTTACTGTGGAATGCATTTACTGTTAATAAATAATAAAGAGGTACCACTTAGATATCCTGAAGTCAAAGAGGAACTTTGGGTTTCTTATTTAGAAGATGATATCTTAATTGAGCTCACCTGAGAGATCACTGGGTAATGTTCATGTGATGTTTTTGCTTAAGGTGTGTCTGTCAGGTGCAGTTGGTTGTTTTGAAAAACACAGCAAAGAATTTCAGTGCAGTGAAAACATTGTGCTCTCTACTCACCACAGGTCATGTTTTCTGTTGGCTTTCTGGGGCTTGGTGTGACTGAGGCTGTGCCACAGTAGGACAGAGGGTCTGTGAGCTTCCATATCTTGAGGCACAGAGGCAGCAGAGCTACAGGACAACATGCTGGAATGGGATCCTGGCTGGGTTGTAACCTACCTTATCTAACAACTGAGAGCTCCTTGCACTACATTTTTGATGCTGGTGGGCAGGCTATGGACATGCAATGTGCTGAAGGTGTGGACAGGACTGGCAATCAGTACCTTGTGTCTTTGGGGAAGGATTCCAGTCTGTAAAGGACCTGCTGCAGCTGATTTTGTGCTTTTTCCTCCTATTCTTTTGAATCAGCCTCATGTGCAGAATGTCTGCTCAAAATCCTTCTTACTGATGTTTCATGGTCTGTTATTTCCATTATTTGACAATTACTAAAAGGAGATCTTGTAACTGATGCAGCATTAAGAGCAGATCTTATAAAAATCAGTAGTTTCTTTCTATTCTCCCTGCTTTTGTGGCTTATTATAAAAGTGTCAATCTCTCACTGCTATCTAACAAACAAACTTCTGCCCTGGATCCATTTCCTCTTGGGCAGTTTGCCAGGAATAACAAATTAAACTCCAGCTCTCAGTTTAAGAAGTTTCACTTCACTGAGTAGAGTTCAAGTACAGTCTATTATCCTGACTAAGTGATAGAGGAGTCCTTTGATGTTTGCTTCTTGAGTGGTTTATACAAGCCAGGGCTTCCTGTAGGAAAAACAGCTGCAGCTGAAGGAAATACTTGATTGATCAGGTAACCTCTTCCTCTCACTCTTTCTTGAGAGTGCCTGAGTGCCCAATGACAGAACCATGCAGAGATACAAAGAGAGACCCAGTATAGTCTCCACCAGAAGTCACACAGTTTGATAATGTTTCTCAGTTTTTCAGGTGAGAGGGACAATCCTGCTTCTTCCACCTTCCTGTTCCCCATTGTTTTCCCCACAGCAGTTCTGGTGGTCCACCATGGCTTGTTCAACCTACTTAATTTGTAAGACTTCACAAACAAAAATTAGTGTTAAGGGGACAGGGGACAGAGGAATAACATTATGTCAGAACAGAAGTCTTCCCTCTGCACCTGCCGGCCCGCCGGTCAGCCTGGCTGTGTCACTGAGCCATGCACTCAGGGCTCCTCCAGAACCCTCTGACCTTCAGCTAGGTCCCACTCTGAGCTCTTTCTGGAAGATGCTGGTTTTCTCCTTTGATCACCAGGGGCTGTGTTCATTTCATCACATAAAATGGTTCAGTGCTGTGTTTTTTCTCTCTATAAGAAGGTACAGTGATGCTCCCCTCCCAGTAATTCTGGCCTGCAAGTTTGAGGGAAAAGCAGAAGTTGGCTAGAATATATTGAGGAAAAACAGGGGGTGTGCAGTGCAACCTGGTCAGAGCATAGGACTCAGATAAAAACAAAAAGGCAAAGAAAGAGATACCAGCAAACCTTGCATTGTCTGAGCTGTTTCAAGATACCCACTTTTCTGTGGTCAGTGGTAGTAAACTGCTGTGCTTGATTTCTGAATCTGAGCTTGTCAAAACTCCCTGTGTTAGCTTGTCACGCACAGATAATTGGGGTATTTTTCTGTGCCAATAAATGTTCACAAATACTTTGCTTCTCCCTGATTCTTTACAGGAGTGGCCACAACATGTGGTGGGTGCAGCATTGATTTCCTGTCCCCCTTGGAGCACCTGGGCACAGAAGTGTCTTGCAGAACTCTTGCCTCTAACCAAGGGCACAGCTGAACAGCTCGTGAGCAGCACTGCAGTGCCAGAAGCAGCTGTGCTAATAGTCCAGTGTTACAGAGGAGGTCTTGCTCCCCTACTTAGCTCCTGGCCTTGCAATTGTGCTGCTTCCCTTGACTTGGGTGTTGGGTGCCTGTCAGATGACTACTGAGTTGATTCAACTCACAAACTCAAAAAAAATCATCTCCATGTAACATTGTCACCGTTGGCTGGAAGGAGAGCATGAGGAGATTTGGAGGCAAACAGCCTTTATTTTGCAATTAGATGTTGCAATACCTGTGGATATTGCATGCTCCACAGTGTTGCAAGAGTCCCTTGAACAGAACTCATTGAATTTGGTTTGTAAAATCTTGTCTAAAGTATGGGTATTGGAAGTTGTGAAATTACCTGTTATTCAGTGCATGCAAAGCAATCCTATACTATTTTATTACAACTTATTTTGGATTGTGTAGAAGCAGATTTTCCTTCAGCTATAGCTTTCCTTTCAGCTATATCCATGTCTGAAGCTCTTTCAATCCCAAGCACCCAGACTCTTCTGACCTCCTTTGTTATATAGAGAAGCATTTTAGTAAGGTGTAATTACTGTAGAAATGCACATGTTGGAAACCTGAGTGTTTCCTTGCTTTGGAGCCTGATCTAACAGGCAGTTTCAGAGTACCCTCTGGATGCCTGAATAAACCTGGGATTTGTCTTTTTCCCACAAGTTATTTGCTGTTGTTATCCACTTTTCAAGATCTGGACTCTCATCCCAGAGAACTTTGGAAACCTTTTTGCATGGAGCCCCAGGAGTTTGTCCCATGTAATGGACACTGATGTTTTCCAATCAGCAATGTTATTTTTAAGCTCTGCCATGTCACGTTATCTTATTGCCTCACAGACCCCGTGACTGCTTGTGCCTGCAGACAAATCTAGCACAGGCCAGAGGGAGGGTAATTCTGCCTTTTTGGTCTGCCCCCTCCCCTCTTACACCCCAGAGGTCTATTTCTATCTGGGAGTGGAGGCTGGGAGGCCAGTTGTCCATATGTGACTTTATGTGACAGTGCCTCTGTGAATCCAGGCAGCCTGGCTGCCTTCTCTGAACCTCTCCTGTAACCCACAGTGCTGCTTCTTCCCCCACTGAGACTTTTGCCTGTACACTTACAGGCAAAAACTTACAGCTGTGTTTTCTTGGAAATCATTTCTAAAGCAGTTATAATTTTCCTATTGTACACCCAAAATGTGTACACCTTTTCAAAGAAACCCAAATGTTCTCTGAAACCCTCCTCTTCCTGCCTTCCAATAGAAATGCCACTCATCAGTTAGTTCAGCATTTGTGCATTCCTTTTCTTTCCTAGAGCTCAATGATACTCCTTTCTCAGTCTGAGGATGGATAAAGGATGGTTCCTCACTAAATGGAAGCATATTTTTCCTCTCAAGATATTTGCTTTTATCCAAGTTGATTCTTGAAGAAAGACAAAAATGCCAGAAAGAGAGATGTGAGCTGAAGCAATTTGTTTGCCTGCCTGCCAGGCTCACCCTTACATCGAAGTCCAGTGGAGTTGTGTGGTCAGATTGTCAGGTGTGTATCCTGAGTGTGAGGAAATGAAGTTTACAATAACTACAAAGGGATAAGCTTTTAGAAAAGTTGAATTGGCCAAGTCTCAGTCACCCTTCTTTTGGTTCCACTCATTAAAAAGACATATTCTTATTTTCTCATGGACTCTCTTCTGGATGGAGCATTAGAATGAGTTCCATTATGCTCATCCCATGCAGGTAGTATATCCTCTGGAAAAAGTAAGTGATAAAATTCTGCTATCTTTGCCAAGATTCTCTTTTTTGCATTAAAAGAAACACATTCCAAGGTGGGTCTCAGTTGTAGATAATTTTATTTATGGTATTTTTAAATTTGGTTTTGAATTTCAATTTTTAGAGTCATCAGCTTTGAAGTGGTAATCCAGGCTGGACCCAGATTCTGACTTGCAGAATGTTTGGAACAAGGTGTTTCAAATGAATAGCATTTTGTTTGGATGAATTCTGATTATTTGAAATGCCTAATACTTTATACTCTTGGTCAATTGGATTTGTTGTGCAGAAGAACCAGACTGTCCTAGTTGCCCAAACCCCTCAGATTGGCCCTAGGTGTGCTCATGGAGACACAAGAGCAGGTACCTCAGCATCCCCTTCTGAAAGTCTCCTCTGTGCAGGGTGTGGTATCTCCCCTTGCAGCTGCAAGGCTGGAACTGCAGCTTCTGTGACTGACTGCAGCTCTGATGGTAAACATAAACCAGATACACACTGACTATTTGCACTGAGAGACAAAGCAGCCCTATGGCAATAGGATCCTGACTGCCAGCATTTCTTGCCTGCCAATTTACTTCTCTAGTAACTGGGATAAGGCCTTAGGGGGAAAAAACCATGACAACGAACATGGCAAAATATGAAGCTCCTTTTCTTTAGCAGCAACTGCTCTCTTCCCAAAGCTGGCAGTGAGGGAGAAGACATGAAGAGAGCCTGAAGCTCCTTTTTACCCAGTGTGTATCTTTGTCATTGATTTCTACAGCTAGCAAAGGACATGTAAGAAATTCCTGCCCCAAGAGATTGTTCCTGTCACAGGGTTTTGAGCTGGCATGACACAGAACCAGGATACACTGCCCCACAAGCAGCTGCACCTGTGTCCCTGGCATGGTGAGCTGCTGTGGAGTA